CGAAGGCAGGTTCATCCAAGATGGACAAGTCTAGGACGTAAACGCAGAACATCTAGACAAATAGTCCGCCCCTCGTCGCTGTCGATTTTCGAGGATTGATGACGCCGAATGTTTCATTATCGCCGAGAAGGAATTCTCTGCTGGCATATCATGGCAGGTTTTTGCAGCACGTTGGCCGCCATTCCACGTTGGAACCGTCCATACTCTAGCCTATTCCACATACCGAACGCCCGATACGAAGACCAATCAGTCCAGCGAGACAAGGGGTACCACGGTTTGCCTGACTGACATGTCCCTCTCCGCCGGAGGTACTTCCCTTCCTTTCCAACTTCCAGCATCAGCCTAGGCCCGGTCGACCCTCCCGTGGATTCAGCCCCGGGGTGGTGGTGAGGGAGGCGGGCTTTATGTTTCCGTCCTACGGCCCGCCAATCACAATGCGAGTCGGGAGCACGTTGCGCTACGGCTCTAACCAGCAACGACATTCGATGTCAATGGCTTTGGACACCAGCGCTGGACTTTTCTTTACTTCTTTGGCTTGACGAAAACTGGCCAAACTAGGAGGTTTTTGAATGGCGACTGCTCGTTTTGAAATCGACGGCATGTCGTTGAAGAGAATGAAATACCCTGGTGCGGCTCGCATTCCTGGCTGGAAGCTCCCGTGGTCTGCCGCTGCTTGGCACTTGGCATCGAGAGCCTTCTACCACTGAGATTGCGCGATGATGCCACCGCCAAGAAGGAGGCCAAGCTTTCGGGCGCGCGACGACGACGCCCGTCTAGGAATGTCGATATTGCCCTCCCCCCAACATTGAAGGGAGTTTTTGCAAAGCTGTCGCGTGCCCGTTGTCTTCTTACGGACGGGGTATTCAAGTCTGTTCGCTGGAGTCGTAAAAGTCAAGTCTCATCAACCCACGTGCTCGGACGGCGTTCCCTGTTGGCAGACCTGTCGTAGCCAGATCGACGTCGTCTTAATGAAGGGGTTCATGTATGACACCGGGGCGCGTGTTGCATGGCGTTACGCGTAGGTATCCTCTCTATTCCGGCTCTCTGGTACAGATATCCTTGCCGCTGTCGCATGGCGTATTTGCGCACAGAACCCTCAAGGCTCAATGAGACTATGAGATGCCTCTCTAAGTAGCCGGAGAGAGCGAGAAGATAGCATTTCGTCAGTCCGGTGAGTTCAAAATTGCTCGAACCTTGTACGAAGTTGAGCCCATCGGCAGCGCTCGATCGCCACCGCTGACAAAAGTCGGCCGTACCTAAGTTTTCACCAAGATCATTCTAGCCATCAGTCTCAACACCATCTTCCGACCTGTCGCACCACGCTTTCCGAACCTCCTGATCAACTCGGTTATTCACAGCTACGATAGGGAAGTACCAAACCCACCCGAAAAAAGGCCATCCCCATTTTCTCTCTTCCACCGTCGTCAGTCAGGACGCTACGCAACCCCAGCTAGTCCTATCCAGACCTGCCAGACTAAGCCAGGGTCCGGTTCCCAGTCGTCTCTGGGGTGGGATCCAGATGGGGTCCATAGTCTCCATTCGAACCAATGGAGCCCCAGATTTCGCACACGTGGGTGGAACCGTTCGTCCCCTTGGCTCGGGACGTGTATCTCAACCTCGACACGCAGCCGCTGCTGCGGGAACAAGTCTTTCTCGGTCGCCCAAAAGAATGCTCAAAAGTGCCAAAGTCAGTGGGCTTTTTTTGCGTTGCGATTTCATGACAAGAAAATTGCCCGCGGCGCGCGACAGCTGGCTTGTCCGGTCTTCGCGACTTACCATTCTGGGGCTCTTGTCCGGGCGTTAGCTTGGTACTTGCGTCACGCATGAAAATGGCTGGGGAGGGAAAGTTCCCGACTACGATTCGCATGGGCAACTTCATTTCTACACGCACCTTGTGTGATACAGCAGCCAACCCAATGTCGCTGATTTGCGCTTACCTTAATCGATGATCTTCAGTATGTTGTGCCGCAGTCGAGCTAGCGAAAGCTGCCCGACGTACCCATTTCCTGGAGCTCACTTGACACCTCGCTCCCACTGTGACATGTCATGGCACCTCTTAGCGCGGGGGTCGGCTTTTGATCAATTCTTTTGACACTACTTTCTAAGGAGACAAGAGACTCTTCGATCGTAGGACCTGACTTCGAAGTGAGTACTCAATTAACCACTTACTGTGGCCAAGCGATTGTGCCTTGTGACGTACTACAAGGATTCAAAATGGTGTTGACTCCGGCGATTGCCCCAATCTCAAAGATCTCGTGGGGAAAGAATCCAATGGCTTCTTGAACTCTTAAGGACTACTTTGCCATGTAAGCCTCGGGTTTCCCAGAAAGTCTTTGCAAGATAGCCAAGAGGTTATGCTGAGTCCCCCGCTCAAATGCCGAACCATTTCCTGGAAAGCAGGGGGCTTCAGTAGTCAATCGTTGACTTTTACATGGACAAGAGGAACGTAGGTCTATTTTTGAGAGATCGGCCTTTCCGAATTCTCTTTTTCGCCTTCCTCGCATTACCTGTGGTTCCGTCAATGCAATGTGCTGACCACAACTCAGGTCAGAATCCTCAATCATCAATGCAGACCACGTGGCTCGGCATAAGCATTTACAGACCCCAGAAATCCGAGGGTTACTTATTAGGCGCTTTTTTCTGTCAGGGGTTCTCGGCCTCGATATGTCGCACTGACGATGGCCAAGAATTTTCAAGCTACGAGACCAGCATCATCACACGTACATGGAGCTGGGTTACTTCCCCCAGTAATGGTCCAGGAAGATCTGATGATGAATGATTACATACAAACACCTGTGAAGTGAACAGCGTCTTGACTGTCTTGGTGAGCAGCACACGTGGAAGAACCCATTGCTCAATCACTATTCGTGAGAGAATGATTCGCACAATCGGCTTTGTTGTCAGTCTATGGCCTATGTAGAGACACGGACTCGTAAGCCCCGAGATTGAGACTCGAGTCATCCAGAAACTTACCAGCTGGCTTTTCTGGAAGTGATATATGACGATAATGCAGTGTCGTCGTGCGGACACAAAAAAAGCGTCACTATGCCTCCGTTTTTGTGAGTATAATCTACTGGAAGTAGAATTGCAAAGTTCAGTCCCGTTGGATCCTTCCAGTGCTTCGTGCGCCACAGTGACGCGTATGGCATGTTTGCAGCGACCTCTAGGGCGGTACTGTGGAGCTACTCAATTTGTTTGAGAAGATGAAGTCTGTTATGAACCGTACTTTTCTGGGAATGTTGGATCATGGGGAGCAGCCGATGGTGACGCTGTTTCGGAAGTCTGCAGATTCATGTCTTCTAGTAACGGACTCGCAAGATTAGTTGGGAGATCCAGGCATTTTGCCTTGCCGTCTGCTTTACCCGAGTTCATTTTCAAAGAATGTCTCGGGCTCTCCTCCGGCTGTCAGCCTTTGCCAATGATGACGAAGGGTTCCGGCTTTTCTAATGAGAGACACGGTATCAGCAGCATTGTTGAATCAATAGCCTAGAGTAGTACCCTCGTTTCTTCATTCTATTCTAGCTCCGTCCCACGGAACTGTCCAACTGTTATTTGAGTGACTGTGCTACTTCGCAAGAAATTCAATGACCTGAACCTCTCGCGTTGGGTTCTTGAATCTTCGCGGTGTGCGAAGAGCTAATGCACATGGAATCAATTTCAAGCGAGTATCAAGATGTAACAGATTCCTGGTTTGATAGTATATATGGAGAATCAATGTGAGACTTTAACAGCTGGTTCCGGCAAGATGAGAGATTGCGACAGAGGTGCTTTGAAGACAAGAGTGAAGGAACTCGTGCTTCGGAGGTTATACATTGTAGCGGGAATCAAACAAAAAGGGTGGCGCAATTCTTTTCAGTTATTTTACTGGAGACCAGTATCATCTCGGTGACGATTAGTATCTTGATCTGCTCATCTTCTAGCAAATTAGAAGGTCTTTTTCGATCAGAATGAAGCACGGATTACATCCCTCTTCTTTGCCGCAAATGCTTTTTATAGCCCGACACAGTAATATGTAACCTGCGAATTGAACTACTGAAACAAGACAAGCTAGACAGCGACGTACAATTGCACTTGATCTATTCGAGTCAGAGCTAGAGTGCTCGTTGGCAAGTCTGCAAAATATACTCTGAAAGCTCTTTTGCAATCACGTTTTCCCAGGACCCGGAAAAAAAAAGGGCATGCTGTGCCGGCCTTGGGATCTCATAACTTCATGCTTCAGTTCTCATTCTGCCCATCACCTTACAAGGTTCTCAATAATAAGCTGAGAACTTGCAACGAGTAAAGGTCGATAGTTTTGTTTGATACGATCTGTACAATCTCCTTCCTACCTATCTCTGAACTGCTTGTCTCGAACCCACACAGCGGCGAGAAGAAACCTGGGACGGAACTTCAGCCAAGCAGTAGGCATCTCTCTCTCTCTCTCTCTCTCTCTCTCTCTCTCTCTCCCTCTCTATCTCTCTTCACGTACCAACATCACAAGAACAAAGGACAGTTAAACCCAAAACAGACATTTTCAGTCTCATTATATTCCTCCCCACTAACAGAAAACCTCATCTCGGGCCCAAGATCATAAACCAGCCGTCGAGTCGTTTTCAATCATAAGCCCATCTCATGGTTTCATGAACAAAAGGTATCAAATGTCCAGAAACCCATAAAAATCGAGAATACCCTGCCCAAGTCTATAAATCTTTCCGTTGTCTGGTTCAGCAGCTTGTGAAACGAAGCAAACCACCCCAAACCCAAATTCGGAAATTACCAAGAAGAAAGTAGAAAAAAATAGTTGAATCTGTTGCCTGGTTGCGTAGATCATGTCCACATCGCAAGTTAAACGAACCGAAAAAGAATCCGCAAAAACACAAAACAACAAAAAGTGGCACCGCCGTCCTCCCTATTTCCTCATCCCCTCCCAATTCATTCTGCACCAAATCCGCATCACGCATCACTCACACACACCCCACACACCACGCAACGTACATCTCTCAGTACGTCACATCAAACTCCTCCCTGACATCAATGTCCATGCCCACATGCTTGGTCCGCAGGTGACGAACGAAGTTGTCGCGGCGGTTGTACACGTGTCCCGTCTTCGCCTTTCGGCAACCGGGGACGCGGCACCTGTAGCCCCCGCCCGCGCCGTCGCCGTCGAGCGTCTCGTGCGTCTTCTTGTGCCGCTTCAGGTCCTTCATGGTCGCAAAGGCCTTGTCGCAGTTTGCTTCGTCGCAGAGGTACTCCTTAATGTGGTACCTCTCATGTTTGCTGATGAGAGATTGATGTCAGTTTCATGGACTTTTCTCACCAGGTGTGAAGTTGATGAAAGTCTTTTGAGACTCTTGCCATTCCTGATCAAGAGACGAAGAGTAAAGTGCGGGGTTTCGTATGTGATAAGACAATAGTAAGGAAAGTGTAGGTGAGATTTACGTCAAATCACTAGGTCTGCGAAAGACCTTGCCACAGTTTTGCCAACGGCATTCAAAACGTAATCGCGAAATGTCGATACCGGCGGCAGCAGGCGTCGTGACGCCGTTGCTGAACCCGCTGTCGCTGGCTTTATCGCTTTCATTTTCGTTCCCGGGGTTTAGGGGGCTTCGAGTCGGGCTCAGCGTTTCCGAAGAATAGGAGGGGGTGTCGAGTGGACACTCCATGACACCAAGTGCCATAGGTGATCTCCATGATGAACACGGCAACAAGCCGATGATCGGAGGAGGAATGGGCGGGTCGTCGACCGAATCTAGTTTCAAGGTGGAAGTCGTCGTCTGGTCGGAGTAGGATTCGCAGTAGCAAATGGTGTTTCCGAGTAACACGCAATAACAAGAGTCAACAAGGTTGGGTTGTATATTGGTGTCTAGGTAGAACGCCACCGTGGCAGAGTCTGGGGTTTCCTGGGTGAGAGCGTTGGAGACCTGATCCGATGATCAAGGCTTAGACCGACCCGTTCGAAGGGGTCGTCGGAAATGGGGAGGACGGTTAAGCGGTTAACAGATCCAAAGGCAACAGCGAGCCCTGGGTGTAAGGGTGCTTTGACCGAGTCAAAGAGTAGGCGGGGAAATTCCCCGCATGCGGCTCTCAGAATAGAAGATGATTCTCCGGGGAGGCTACCAAAAAGGTATTGGTGTTTCGTGACGAGCAGTTGAGGTTGAAGCGTGGGGATGCTATCGGGCCATTCCGCTGAGTATGTGAGGTTGCGATGATTCTCCTGAAGCGGGTTGCTTGGAGTATCTCGTTTGCTTTTGCTGTCGAGGTCCGAGAGCGGGAAGATGAGATGGGATAACGGTCGAGGTTATATAAATGGAGATTGAGTTACGTCCGGGTTGCTGGATTCAGACAAGCTTCTCGGGATGAGGCTGATGGCGGCGGGGGGTGGCGGGATTGAATGTTCCGGGTTTCTCGGGAGTCAAGGATTTGCAGACGTGGGGGAAAGCGGAGAGTCGAGACCTTTTCGACTCACGGACAAGGAGCCGGGCCGTGGCGATACTTAAGTAAAGTGTGCGCAGATTCGACGTGCTGGATCTGGCGGGTACGGCGGGGCGGTGCATCGGAGAGGAGGGGGCCTCAAAAGTTTAGAGGCTAGCAGTCGCTACCATTCGCTAGCAGAGACTCGCATTGGTTCTGATAACGCAGGGTGGGCAGCATATTGGAGCATGTTGGAGTGAAGATGAGCCAATTGGAGATGATCGGAACGTCGAACTGGGGCTCGCCGTTGGTCGATTTGGGGAACCTGCATATCTGCCCAGCACTCACACGTTGGGCTCCGCTCAACCTTAGTTTTGGCGCGCTATTATTCGCCCAACCCATCCTTCAATGTCATCTCTCACCGAGCTTTTGGGCAGAAGGTGGGCACGAGACCGGACCACCAAGGAGCCGCAGCAGGACTCCTTCGTGACGGAAAGTGCTCTCAAGGACACAAGATCCAAGATGATGGAACCGAAGACAAGAGTGAGGTTCTAAAGATCACAAGAAACTGATAGAGTACAAGTCTGCAGCTCAACCAGATGGTCGGAATCCCATCTCATCATAAATTTTCAACGGCTTCTGCCCGAGAGCACCCTTTTCTTCGACGACTACCTACGTTAGCGACAACCTCAAGTGCTAGCCTGGTCAAAATACGCACGTCATTGGTCGTTCGCTTCGCCTTGCCCCTGGCATGAATCAAGCTCATCTGATAATCTCGACGCGGCCATCTTCCGCCGATGGCCTCTTGGCATTGGGCTCCGCCTCCAGTATTTCCTCGGCACATTCTCCAGAACGGAGCGTACTAGATGACTGCTAGTTAACGCGAAGCTGACGTAGCCGGAAGAAGTATCGCGAGCTTTGCGCTGTTAGTAAAAGTCATGTTCAAGGGAATGCTCGCAAATAGCGCCACATGCGAGACTGGATCGTATCCCCTGAGCATTCCGACTGCAGACAAGTCCAGGCCAGGCCGCGTGGGCAGCAACATCTACGGCTCCGACCATAGACCCATCAATAGTGAGCATCTTAATGCTCCGTCTTGAAGCTAAGCATCCGGGTCCCCACCACGATACTCGATGGTGGCGGACGACGGGCAGCAACAGAAACCTCACGACCGCTTGGCCGGAAGACTTCCAAATGAGGAAAGCCGAGTACGCGTGAACGGCTAGATGGAAGATGCTGACGAGAGTCATGAAGTTGCTATGGTAGCAGCTTCGATGATTCAAGTGAAACGACCAATTCTAGACCGACCGTGGCGTATCATCGTACAGGGCGACGAAGGCGGCGGTCCTGCAAGGAGATACGCCTCGGTTGCATTCCTCTGCTCCACGAGTTCCCAGAATTGGCGATTCTACTGATGATTTTTCTTTCGAGGGGAAACGGCAGCAGTAGAGGTTTTGAATGCATCGAAATACAACGCCGAGGAGGGCGCTCGTCACGTGGTAGTCGAGCCAAAGGCCAGAAAGGCGGGGGAGCACATGAGGTGTCAATGACTGCCATGCCCAGCGGCCAACAAGAGACCAGCCTGTCAAGGGTCTTGCGTCTAATGTAACGTCTGGACATGTTCCTGGGCCGGTGACTCTGGCAACACAGTCGGATGCCGAAGTTGGGCCGGCACGAACGTGGACATATGGCCATGAAGCCTCGCTTTGTTTGTAATGATAATCAGCAAATGCCATGCTAGTCTCGCTCGGACGTTGCATCGCATGCGATGCGAGTGTTGTCGTTGTCTCGTGGCGATGCAAGATGTGATATGTGAGGGCAGCAAATATCGTCATCCACGACCGTGATGCTTGACGTAGGCATCGCTGGCAAGACGGGGAGAGAGACGGACAAAAGATCATCGCAGTCTCGTGGCCTGAAGACAGACTCGCGATGCATATTTGAAGTAACGTAAGAACAAGTGCCAAGTGCCAGTGACTTGAGCATCATGACTCGGGTGGTACAGGTTTGGAGGTGAAAGTTGCGGTTAGGGCCGGCATCGAGTGGGCGCCATGTCTCTGACTCGGTGTCGATCCTTGTCTTGCTGAGATCTCGCGCGCCGTTGCACTTTGTTGGTCGACAGGTGATCTAGAAGATTTCTCCCAAAGGTTCCTCGGCCACAAATTAGGGTGGACATATCCTGGGTAGAAGGGAGACCGGAAGATGCGCAGATGTGAGATGATACGCACCAAAAGGCGTTCACGATCTGGCGGTCTGATGGTTTGAGTAGGGCAGGGTAGGATGACGGAGTACTTGGAGTGTAGCAGTTGTGACGTTGAGAATGTAGAGAAATGGTGTGGACATGCGCGCAAAGAAGTCAGACGCCGCTTGGGAACGATGTTGACAATGCGGCCATCACTCATAAGGGCAAACTGTCGGAGCAAAGAGCAGCCGAGACAAACAGCGTCACTCCAGACAGGCAGGTAAGTTGCCTTCCGGTCCGTCTTGGCTTCCGCAAAAATAATTCCGTTGAAAGCTACGGGCAACGTGGGAAACAGCAGAGGGAATGGAAAGGATGTTCCTTTCCGCCTTGGCTTGTGACCTTCCTACCAAACATTGTTCCTTCCCGGCGTGAATGAGGGGCAGTTTCCCTTGTTTGTTTCAATGTCCTCCCTTGACAACTTGACTTAGGTAATACGAATGCTTACCTGATGAGGGGCAGAGGCTAAGGTACCCACTTTTTGAGCCCCGCGTCTCGAACCCTGAGGTGAGGAAAGCGATTCCTGTTTGCCAGTTCTCCCACATCAACACCTTCCTCGGTCATTGTCTTTCTGTCTCATCCACATGCCATTCAATGACTTCAGCTTCACCGACGTTACTTCGGAGAGCCAAGATTAGGCCGCTCACATGGTCATTGTTTTCTTCCTCTATTGTTGTTTCTTGATGGAACATTGAGAAATCTGAGCGCATTGTCCCCGTCGAATGGCAGTAAACAATTAACCCCCGCATCCGTTCCCCAGATACATGGTTCCATCATGGAAAATCGCTGCAGAACGTCACAATAATCCAAGTTGATCAACCCAACCCAACGCTAGACCGCCTTCAACAATGCAAGCATCGCAAACCCTGGCCACCTGACCAATGGAAATCCGGGGAAAGTAGGGACGGGAACGGGCCCTCTTTGCCAGTCCGGGGCGTACGATGCAGTCCCGGTCCTTACCGCCGGCCGCTTTGGAATAGCTGTTTTTGCGGGGTTGTGTTCACAATCAATCAGCTGGGGGTTCACCTCACACCATACGCCTGTTCTCCCATCTCTTTCTCTCACGCGCATTCCCCTCTAGGGTTACACAATCTAGCGTTGTTTACCGCAAGTTGGGGGGGGGGGGTACAGATCCCCCTGACGGCCACCTTACCCCAACTTTCTAGAAGGGAAAAAAAGTTGGAGATGGGCCAACTTGGCGCGGGGTGTAAGCCGTGGTTTGCGAACGAGTGCAGGAAAAAGGAGGCCACGAGAGCCAGCCACCTGCCAACCAGAAAGAGAGTCATGAGACCAGTCTTGGACCCATGGTGTGCGATGCCCCCTTCCCCTTTGCGTCCTTGGCGTCCAGTGCCATGATTCCGTTCGTAGGAAGTACGAAGTACTCTCTCGTCCTTTGGCAGCAAGCAGCCCAGTTGAGATGATGGCACTGGACATCCTGTTCGCCAGTCTGCCGCTGCGGCCTGCCATTGACTTGCCCCGACGCTGGTGCAACCGCTACTCAGCCAGCGGAGGCCAAGCTAAGCCAATGTCACTGCGACTAGTTCGCCGTTGCCGTTTTTTTTCTTCCTTTTTTATTCTGCCTACTGCTTGCTGTCTGGCTGTGGGCTACTGCATGTTGTGAGAGACATCTCCCGAGGTTGATTCACCTTCGTTTGCTTCTTCGTGATTAAATACCCGCTGTCCTCGCTCCAGATCCGTCATTTCTTTTCTCGCTCTTCTCTAGCTCGTTCGTGAACGAAGAATTACCTTTTCTCTCTCTCTCTATCCCCATATTGTCTCACTCCCGGACTTCTTGGTGTTCCCTCTCAGCTGAACTACCTTGCCTTTTTTGTGCCTCAGACTTACAGTTCATTGACTATTACCTCACACAAACTTCGTCCTAAAGTCAATCTACCTTTAAGCTGACACGCTCCGCTACTCACCCCCATCCGAAGTCTGTCGATCAGGGAACAGCACCCCCTTACCCGCCGCCGCACCGTTTGGCCGAAACCTTGACACTGCCCAGGTGGTTCTCTCTTAAGGACCGGGGAGCCGAACTCTTGCAACCATGAGGCAGCACCTTTTTTACACATCGCTTCTGTCGACACTGCTCGCAGCACCGTCATACGCTCTGCCCGGCTTCTTCTCCGATGCAGAACGCGCCCATTTCTCATCAGACCTTAAACGCTCAATAGACCCCGAATCTCCAGCAGCAATCATGGCGAGACAAGCAGCCGACAGATCCGGCCGCTGGCGGCCCCAGATTCACTTCTCACCACCCGCCGAATGGCTTAATGATCCAAACGGCCTCTTTGTCGACTCGGACGGTGTCTGGCACATGTACTACCAATGTGAGCCTTTTCCATTGCCGCCTTTTCCCCTTCCCAGCCCAATCCGCCTGTTCCCCAACTCCCCAAACGCAGAGTACCGTGCTGGAAACACCTCCCAAAGCCGCGGTTACCTATTTTGAGTTGTGCAACACATTGCGCAGGTTCCGGGCGAGCGGTTACCAATGTTTGCCCTGTGCAATGTCAATGGCGCGTCCTTCTGCCCGTTTCATTGGATCTGCATTCTGCACACGTGCTAGTTCCCGTTGGCGTGAGGGTTGCGCCTCTGCCAAAGACGGAAACATCACATGCGCGATGATGAGCGTTGCAATTCCACCCCCGCATTTTTGGCGCGGAATGAGACACGCCGCATGCTTTCCCTACCCTACCTTGCCGCAATTACATGCTCTTCTCCCTGCGATGCATCTCAATCTGGCATGCCATGTGTCACTGCCTCGATGAGACTATGCCAACCCTAGCCTGGCTTTAATGTTTCAAACATCTTCAGAACTTCACGGCTGACTATTTTGACTCAGATGCCGACAACGTCGCGGGCGATGGCGTGAAGCACTGGGGCCACACGACGGCCACCGAATTCTACAATTGGGTTGACCACCCCGTTGCCATTCCCGCCACTGCGCGCGATGGCTCCATCTGGTCAGGGAGTGTCGTCGTCGACAGGAACAATACGTCTGGCTTGTTCCCGTCTGACAAGACAAGCGGAAAGGACAACATCATTGCCTACTATACCTCATGGGAGCCTGATCAGGAATCCCAACATCTTGCATGGTCGTACGATGGCGGCGAGACTTTCAACCAGTACGAGGGGAACCCAATTATCTCACTCAACAGACACGGATTCCGCGACCCCAAGCCCTCGTTCCACCATGAGACCAACACCTGGGTCATGGTCCTTTCGCTCGAGAGTGAGGTCGCCTTCTACACCTCCACCAACTTGGTCAACTGGACGCAATCATCCATCTGGAATCCTCAGCGCAACATTGGCCTGATTGAGTGCCCTCAATTCCTCCAGATCCCCCGAAAGGACAAGTCTGGAAGCATCGTGGGTGCCAAATGGGTTCTGACTCTCAGCCTGGGAGGCGGCGGCCCGACTGGCGGTGCTGCAGTCAAATACATCACCGGCGAGTGGGACGGCACCACCTTCACCCCAGATGTGCCCGCCAGCCTCGGCGGACGGAGAGGAATCTTCTCGCGTCAGGACACCTTCTCCATCTATGACTTTGACTTCGGCCCCGATAAGTACGCCACCGCCTTCTTCCACTTCCAGAATCTCAACGACGCCAACCAAGACGCATACTCCGTCTCATGGGCGGTTGACGCTACGCTCTACGGGTGCTGCACGCCGACCGACCAAGAGGGATGGCGTCACTGCATGGGTGGTGTGCGCCGCCACTGGCTGGACTCCAACACCAACCGACTCATGTCAGCGCCGGCTGGCGACCTGTCCAAGCTCGTGAGCACGACGTCCGGCTGGAACCCCATTCTTGACGAGAAGGACGTGTCGGGCATTCAGGGCAGCAGCGCCGTCATCCGCGACTACAACCCGGCTGTAGAGTGGACCTTGACCGTCAAGATGGCCAAGTCTCTCCTTCAGGAGGGTTCGACGGCCTCAGCTCAGCTGGCCTTCCAGGGCTCTCAGTCCAACGGCACGGAGCAAGTCTCTCTCGGCTTCGACTTCACTGGCACCTCCGGCAGCGGGGCACCCACGGCCAGCCTCAACATTGGTCGCGCCAGCGCCGTGTGGGATAGGTCTGGCACTTTTGGCGTCTCCAACGTCCAGGCCCTCGAGGCGGCCTCGAGCGAGGGCTCCAGCGGCAACGTTGAGTTCCAACTCCACGGCATTCTTGACCGCTCCGTCCTTGAGGTCTACGTCAACGGCGGCGTCGAGGCCGGCACCATGCTCTACTTCACCGACAAGCCCCTCGACAGCATCGTTCTCTCCCGCGGCACGGGCACCAACGACCAGGGCATCACCTTTGACTTCAAGGCCGTCGCGCTCAAGAGCTCCTGGGGTTCGTACGGGGAGAAGTCCGTCTTGCAGAGCACGCAGGACAAGTGGAGAACGGAGGAGCTGTGAGGAGCAGATCCGCTTAATATCCCTTGTGATTAGAGATCTTGGTGGCTTTGTAGACGTTCTTCCAAGCGACCTTCGGGTCTGGGGGACGCGGAAGAGGACAGAGAAGCGGAAGCGATGCGAGACGATTCCTAATCGTGTTGGACATGTTGCATGAAGAAAGGGTCTATGGCTCAGACAAGAGGGCCTTTCGTTTTTGGATAAGGGTTTTCCACATCAATCTAGGTGGCATTCGTACGAATTATGATTTTACCGTTTATTCTCGATATCCTGACTGTGTGATGGCTTTCCATTGTAAGACTACCTACCCCTGGCTCCCACTCCATGTCCACTTGCTGTCCATTTGAACTCTATCGGGGCCTACAAGAAGAACCCGAGACCAGCCATAATCATCAAGCCACCATCGGTCTCGCATTTGTCTAGACTACATCACATGGTGCAATCGCTTCAGGAGATGATAGAAAAGGTAATGAAAGGCATCAGGTGAAGCCTCCATTCTCACGTGTTCTAGAACCTTACGAACCATACCACACACAGACCCATGCAGCTGCGAACACAAGAAACGGAGAAACGACGAGTGTTTCAATCATGGAAGCTCCCTCGTCCCCTCTTTCCTCTCCTCTTTCCTCTCCTCTCCTCCCCTCCCCTCTCTTCCCTCGTCTGAAAACATGCTCTGCGTCAAAACATGGGATGCCAAGCTTAAGCCAAAAGTCAAAACTCCCTCACAATGAGATCGATACCACATACCTACAATGAGACGGACAATAGGAAAATCTTCAAATCCATTGACGCCAAAGGTAGTCATCCCATCGCAGGAGGCCCTAGAGCTACTTTCAGGATCATAATCGTTGTCGTCGTCATCACTGGAGAGGCGGGGGGGACAACAACCATAGCATGGATTGCTTCGAGGATTACCTATCAGATCGATATTACACACACACACTGTATTTTGTTGATCACTAAAATCCCAGACTCAACCGAGCTATTCAAGCTCTGCGCTCCCCCTTACAGTCAAGAGCATTGCTCCGTGTCTCTTTTACGCCTAGTAACCCGTTCCAGAACACTAACGTTGAAAAGGAAAAAGAAAAAAAGAAGCCTTTTTTTGCTCATGAACTACTAAATGTTGACAAAGTCTATATCGTACCGTATCCAGAGAGCTTGAGACAAGCACTCGCTCCGTCGGTGTGCACACAATGGCCGCTCCATGCCGTCAGGGAAAATATCTACCAGTTCAATGCTGCCAATACAGCCTTTATTGTCGTGTCTCGTTGCCCCTCTGGTAGTGGCCCAACCTAGATCAGGCCGTTCGATTCGTTGCTCAAAGTCTTCCTCAGGTTGCTTTGGCATCGTCGAACAGAGTATCGTCGAGGGGGGTTACAAGAAAGAATACAGGAAAGGAAAGAAATGTAAGGGTATATGAGGTTAATAACCGAGTCCGGCAACAGCGGCCACAACTTCACGTCGTAGCATCCGCTTGACGTCCGCCTCCCGATCTGCTTCCCTGAGGGCGTCATTCGGATCGACCTTCTTGTCACCTTCCTTCTTCTCGTCCTTGTGCTCCTCTTTATGTTCCTCCTTCTTTGGCACCTCCTTGTTTTCTTTGGGTGTAGCAATCTTGCTAGGGTCGGCCTTGGGATTACCGGGCATCTCCGTTTTATCAACGGGAGCGTGCTCGGATTTCAGCTTATCCTTCTCTTCGCTGGACTTGTCGGCCGCCAGCTTGTCCGCCCGTTGATCGTCCTCCAGAGCATCATCGTTAATCGGCTTGACCTTCTTGGCTTCGCCGTTGTTGATGCTCGCCAGGGCTGCGCTGTCGAATAGGTGGGCGGCATCAGCGCTGGACATGGCATACCTGGTCGAGTTGAGAGGGTGGCCGAGAATCGATGCCTGAGCATCAAGCTTGTCGTAAAATGCCTTAGTAGGTGCCTCCTCCAAGTAGTTGAGACGGTGGCCGCAGCGGGCACCAAGAACATCGCGGATCTTGGGGTTGGAGCTGCAGCAGTGGCCCCAGCAGTCACTGATGTGATCAATGATAGACCGGTAAGGGTTGCGGCGGCGACTCTGGTCGATGATACGGACAATTGTGGGAATTGCCACCTCGTGGAAAACTCCAAAACCAGCGAAGATTTCGGAAAGGAAGATGTAATCGGCGAAGAAGCGTCTCGGAATGTAGTAAATATCACTCCAGCCAACACACCACTCGTCACGTCTGATCTTGTACTCGAGGTCAAAGTTGTCAACGACGGCAGCCGCGGCCATGGCGGTGCGGTGGAAGTCCTGGCCCCATCCCCACCAGTTGTAGTTCTTGGTATCGGTAAGGCACATGTACTCGGGTCCACCGTGGGACGGCGGGGCGGTGTCGATGATGGCGGGGAAGTGGATGTTGTATGGGTTCATACCCGTCCAGCCAAGAGGGTCAATCCAGGCATCGAAGTGGTAGTACATCAAACCGTCGATCTCAGGTTGGGTGTCGAGGATGAGCTTCATAGTACGAGACACTTGCTTGTAGACGGTGAAGGTTCCCGGGAATTGATCGTGGGTAAGGTTGTGGAACTCGGGATCCTCCTCCTTGAACATGTTGGGCATGGAAATGTGCACGGTGTGGAAGAACGGCTCGTACTTCTGCAACATCGGGACGCGCTCCGGACGGGCAGAGTTCCACCGAATCATGGCCATCGTGTTCTTGAATGGCGACTCGATCTTGCTCTCGCCGCCGGTGACAGGCTTCGGCCCAGACGGCGCAGACGGAGCAGATGCTCCCTCCTTGGCGAAATCGGGCATCTTGGCCTCGGACATGGTGAGGAACGCCACGATCACGACGGTGATGAATGTCGCTACGGCGAGGAAGATCTTGTTGAACTTCCTCGCGACAGCTGCCATCTTGGCGAACAACGACATCTTCTGAGGCTCATTGGTCGCGGTAGCATTGGGGTCCTTGGGAGGCGGGTTGTCCATGTAGAGCCATGATGCAACAAAAACGACGACGGTACCAGGCAGTACGAGGAAGCTGAGCGAGGTGCCGAACAGGATGGGTGAAACGTAGAGGAGAATACCAGTCGCAACAGCCGTGGCGAAGCACTTGATGACGGCGTCGGCGTCTAGTAGGGTTAGCATATGTCACTCAGCAAGTGCCTACAGATACTCACATTTGTATACAGCGGTAATGGCAAGACCGATGAAGACATTGCTCACAATAACCATGATGGCGCCGAAGCTGGTATAACCCTCAAAGAATCCCGGCTCATCGGCCTTCAACGTCTTGATGACCAAGTGGCACAACAAGTTCATCGCAGCACCTGCGCCGTAAAGGATCATGTTGTCGGCGTGCAAGCTTGAGTCATCGGTCTTGAGCAGGGCCTGGTTGTACACGCCTGATGAGGCACTCAGGAAGACCTGGAACAGTAGGATGAAGTAGGTGCTGAACGGGTAGGTCGTGCCCGTCGTGGGGTTGTACTGGGTCACCATCAAACCGCAAATCTGCATCGTGTCAGTGACGGGATCAAACACTTGGTACCCGAATTCGTCCCACTGACCTGCATGAGAATGGCAATCCACTGGATCTTGGAGATCTTGGTGTTCAAAGTCGCAATCATGACCAGGGCGGTGATGAAGGTAACACCGCTCTTGGTGAGTTGAATCGTACCGGGGTCAGCCATTTTGTAGCTGACGAAGATCTGGAGAAATTAGTCGCAATGAACACGATCACGCAGCATGCGGTAGAGCAATGACATACTGAGTTGTTGATGAGCACGTAGAAGAGCGCCAAGTTGCAAAAGCCATATCGCACATCTCTGGTAACCTCTCCTCGGACGTAGCTCCAATATGTCCTCACATCGAGCGGCGGGAGCGGACCATTGTTTCTCTCAACAATGTTGCCCGTGCTGGACGAGCTGGCACTGCCGTTCAATCCCTCCTCTTCCCGCTTCTCATCCAAGCTGCTTCTCTCGGCCAGAGGGAGTTCTGTGGCAATGGAGGCATAGCCACTGCCACCGCCCCGGGTTGATGGGCGAATTCCATCGGCTACCCTGCGCTTGCATTCGTTGTAGAAGAAGATGGTCGACAACAGCATCTTGAGGAACTCGGAGATGGTGACAGACGCCGAGGGAGAAAACGAGTAGGATCCGCCTGTCTGGGAAATCTTCATGATGATACCGATGCCAACCTGGATCGCGACCAAGCCGAGGGCAGCAGCGTAGGCGGCATGTTGAGGACCACTGGGAATCCAGCTGAGGGGCTTCAAGAAGAGCCCCAGTATGCTCCCGTGTCGTAACATTGTAGACAATTGTCACCGACCGCGAGAGGGCGGTTCAGCGAAGAGGCTCGAGGGGGGCGCGACTTAAGATGCGATCGATGTTCGTCAAGGATTGTGCCAAAAGAGCGTCTCGGTGATTGCCAGTGAGCGAAGAGTGTAGGAAAGGTGCTGCTCGGATGCAGCGTGCAGCTCGCAATTGCAGGCGGTAAATCTGCTGACGGTGTTTGGCGCTGCAAGCAGGCGGGAAAGGACGGTCTCTGATCGTGTTTAGGTTTCCTGGGGGTGGGGGAATGACGCTCGTTGGGCCGTTTTGTCCGACATGCGTATCCGAGTTGGCAGCTATTCGTCGATGGATTCGTTTGGGTTTGTTTCGATTCGGAAAGTCGTCGGTTGTTTCCGCCCGCGATGGTCCCAATATCGCGATGACAGGTGGCGCTGGACAGAACCGGAAGAATTGAAATAAAAGAGAGGAATGAAATTACACGGGAAGAAGGATAGGCTGGAGAGGAATGGACTGGAATGGGTGTTGCATGGGAAGCGAGGTGCCCACGGCGAGCAGGAACGGGGAAGAAAGAGAGCAGCGTCAAGCAGAAGCGCACTGCAGGCAGTCGAGGCAAGGGAAGGCAAGGGAAGGGGGGGGCCGTGGCCACAGATGGATCCTTGGAGGTGTCCACTCAAGGTTGCTGACATACTTTGGCGAATGTACAGTGTGTGCCACACCTGGTGGAAAAGGTACTTTCGTACAGGGTGCGAGACACACACACACACACACACCCACTGAGGTGCTCTTTCCCTCTCTCCGTCGCAGTCGCTCTTTCTCACTTTTTTTTTTGTGGTGGGGTCTCTGGGGGAGCCAAGCGATTTCCCAATGAGAAGTCGGATAAGTCCAGGTTCATGTGGGTCTGTCGAAGAAAATAACAGGAGCTGTCATTGGATGGATTCATGACACGGTGCAGCGCCGTGGATGAAAAGCACCAAGGCCGCTATACGGATGAAAGTTGCGGTACTATTCGCACCTGCCTCGATGCTCACCTCAGAGAAGGGCAATGATGGCGCACTTACCTTACTCTGAAAAGGGGCCACAGCTTGAAGCTGCTACAGCCAGCCAGACTTCAGTTCGGACACACCACCGGGTACACAGTAGGCACCCGACCTTCTGTTTTCTCCCGGCTCTCTTCTCCCGTTGACTCTTGCGAGCTGGACACAAACGAGGGGGAACCTTGAGCTTGGCTCTGTTTTCGAAGGGGTCTCCGGAGGGGCCGCACTGTGTCAGAATTAAAGTAGCCGATCTCTGACAATGGGACTCTCAGTACCACATCAGGCGAGCCGGGACACCGGTGTCACCCAAGTATCGTTGAACCTGCGATTTCTATGCAATTGCGTCGTAAGAAGACCAGCTAAATTTTCATGTGAAGACTCGACTATCCGTATGCCCTCGTCTGATACTCTCTAGATTCAAGTGACACCATGCTACTCGGGGGCGAATAAGGGCCAACCTGTCTCTTGCTTGAGGATACACTGGTCGATGGGCGATGAGAAACAGCCTCTGCGTCCTGCCATGACGCGCACTGCAACCGGTGCCGAAGCTGTTCAAACACGAAACCTCGACAAGAAATGTAACGGTGCGCATAGTACTCGGTGATCCCAGACTCCGTACAAGCTACAGTGTGTCCCGCGGCCGCAACACCATCGAGTAGTCATTGAGAAGCGTTCCAGAGCTGAGAGCAAAGGACAACTGGCCCCGGAACTCCTGAATCCTGAATCCTCATTGCTTTTGGTTGGTCCAATCTATTCTAGCCGGCGCCAATAAGTTGATGTGCCACTGCAGGAAGGGAAAAGGGGCTTTTCAAAACTCAATCTTATCGCTAGCAATAAAGATTAGGCCAACCAAACTTAGGTACGTGGAAGAAATTTCCAAATGACGAGGCAAAACTGCCGGGAGATGTGCGTGTCGAACTATCCGAATCTGTTTTAGGTCTCCAAGAGAGGCTGATAGTTGCAGCTGCTGAACGGACGTCGACGTCGACGAGAGCTGCAACTTTGCTATATTAGAGGCTTGACGATATCTTGTAGGGTAGCCAACCGCCTTACACTATCCGTACGCACCCTTTTCGGAGGCTTGGAGCATGACACGAGTACCTGTGTAGACGTGCTTCTAGGTACCGTGTCGATGCCAGATGGGGAGTTGCCCCTTGCTCCGGCTGCGCTTCCCCTGGGGCTAGCAAAGAAGCAAAGAAGCACCGTTTCCCACTTGAGGTTCGCGGCGCGCGCAGGTCCCATTTCCCGCCCTCACTCACCTCAGGGCTCAGTACGTACCTTTGGAATCCCAGGAAGGAGTAACCCTTTTCGCCTTCACTTTGAGGTAAAGCAGGCAAAGAGTGGGGGTCTGGGAACAGAGGATTGGGTGCGCGACTCCGCCACCGAGGTTCGTACAGTGCCCGACATGTGTCCGTTCGTCGACACAGCACGGCCCGCTCGAGGCAAGGGCGTCTCGCTCATCCGTCACTGTGGCCAGTGGAGAATCGCATGACACTCACTCAACCAGCAATCAATTAGCGTTAATTGGAGCCTCTTTCTGAGGGCGCTCAGTAAGATGACGGCCTTTCCAATGACCGTGATGACCTCCGGTTCCTGGTTCTATCTTGAACACCGTCGGTAGGTGGGCGGACTCTGTGCGAATCTTCGACAATGTTCGTCAGCTTGCGCAATCTTGCATTCCGTCGCCAATGACACGTTTTCTAGGCGCCGCGACGGCTTCTCAATGGTCAGCAATAGCTTATACGCAGTAGAGCTGCAATAGATGCTTATTTCGCGCGACAACTCCAAGCCCCCTGTCTCTGGAAATTCTGTGCAATAAGACGCAGAGCCAAGTCAGATCGCACGGATGACGGCTGTGGTCAAGCGATTGAAGAATTGCTTGTTGCTCCCTCACGCCGAGCCAACTCTCCCTCGATTACCGATCAAAAAAGAAATACACCTGATGGACCCTTCATCGTAGTGTCTGCGCTCAATCTATGGATGTAGTTATCGAGTTTGATTAAGAGCCAGTCCATAGAAGGTTTGATGTCGGCATTTCCGCCATCAATCTGTACAGTCTGTACGGATAATACCTTACCTATCATATTGCTATGAATTTCATCCAACCCCGATTAGACGAGAACAGAAGAAAAATTCCGGTTCGTATCCGGGCACTGGGGCACGCCTAGTAACCCTGCATGCATGTGGTCTGGATTCTGACCAGTGCCAAAAGAGAGGTACGAGAGGAAGACACGGAGCAGAGTGGTGGAAACTGGAAAGAACGTGAGATGGCACTTTCTCCAATTCCACCGCCCCCCGTGAACTTCGTACCTTGTACGACGTACGGTTTCCTGCCATCTAAGCGAGATTCCCACACAGATTCAACCACCACTCCTACAACACTCCAGGTCGACTACCTCCAAATCACCACGTTGGCCAAAACGACCCGACGAATTGGTGATAACTACGGGACGCAATGGAAAGGAGACGCGTCGCCAGCACAGCCCTGCAACGCGTGGCATGAGTGCATAGTCTACCGTTTCAGCGGACTAAACCTTAAGTAGTTGCTTCTACTTTTCTGTCCTAGCCTGCGTCGGCCTCTCAGACGTCTTCATAGTCGGCAAGCTTCGAGAAGCAGGACGACGACGCACAGCACAGTCTCGTTGACACACGGACGGACAACGACGCAGCAATTACGACACCCGTCCCGCGGCCCTAGACCTGAAGCTGGAACTATTTGGAGCCTCGTTGCAAGTGCATCAAGACGCGGACGACTGGTTCATCCTCTCTTTTGCGACCTTCTCCTTACCGTTCCATCCCGCCTTGGCCGCCACCATTGCTATCGCTGTCTCCGCTAGCTTCGCCTCATCAACAACCACATCTCTCAAACACAAGATGCATGTCTTGGCGGGGCAAGAGACAATATCATCCGTGGCATTCTTGCCTTGGCGGTTATGGATTGGCGACGACAGACAACGGACGGGCGACTTCTGAGCGGGAAGAAGGTAAAAGTGAGGCAGCAACCTTGGGTCATGAAACACACCAGATAACTTTATCTGAACAAGGACTCGCTGCAAATTCCCCGGATTCTCCCAGCATCTTCCCTTGATCAGATACCCATCGCTCGGTAGCTTCGGGAACAAAAAAATGGTGCCATTTCCACTGTACAAAGTCTCCCCTACAGTCCGTCTCCGCCTGTCACGTCCAACTGTCCGACAAGTTGCCGATTTACCTGGCAGCACCAAGGGTACCCAACTAGGCACTTTGCTCTGCTCATCGCCGCTCATCACAGCCAGATAAAGCACCTCCACCACGAGTCAAGCAGCGGTTTCAGGACGTGCGCCGACGGTATCCGCCTTTTGGGTCGATCCTCTTGGACGTCCTTTGTTCGAGTCTCACACTCGACATAGCCTTGTTCAGACTCCCCAAGGCTTGACGCAATGCCCAAGACACTGCTTATCGTATCGACAAGGTACTCGCATCCAGTCTCTCGATTCCAACGTACTCTCACTCGACTTGCGTGGATACCGTACTGTGGCAGAGTGCCGACTTCGAAAGAAGCAACTCTGCAGAACCAGCAATTTAACAGACTTTGGCCTCTCAACAGTATTGGGTTCAGGATTGTGGATCGCTATTTTCGGTGAAATAATCATTGCTACACGTCAGAGTTCAAACCGGCGCTCATTGACACTTGGCGCAACCCAAGGTTCTCATGGCTTGCGGGCCGCTAGAAGGAGCGAAAGTCTCAATAATGGGACCGGCAATCCGATATGCAACCCATCAAACTCTGTCTATGGGCATTGAGCACCAAGTCGAAATGAGAGCCGCCCCTGAAGCGAACATAATTATCAAGAGTGGCCAACCGCATAGCTGTATTGCAATCAGTCCATTGCGCAGTTTGCATGCCGCAATCTCATCATTTGCCCGCAGCACAGTAACGATGCTTGGCATTAATTAATGGATTGTGCTTACGCCGACTGCGCTGAACGTCCAACGCCAATGCCAATACCGATGCCAATGCCCAAGCCACCTTCTTACACTAATACACACAGGCATACGGCCCCTGGTCTCTCATGTCGCTCGACCCTCCCCCTGCGTCTCCGCCAATCCCACGCAAGGCTGACAGCATGAGCTGTGCGGTTCTGTTTGGCTATCCTTGCCCCAGGCGACCTGTGGTTGGGAACTTGGGATGGTGGTTGCGACTTGCGAGAGTGTGTGGCTAGGCGGGCAGATGCAGCTGCCTAGCTGCACCGTCGATGGTGCTTGATTCTCTTCATCACTCTGCAACCCGCAGGATTGGCTCGGATCTCACAACATCCATCACCGCTGGCTGATCTTCGTAAACTCACGCCAAGAACTAAGACAGCGCAATTAAACGACAACAAAATCAGGACCAGATGGATGTTGCGTCGGCAAGGAGTCTTATCAAGAGGGCTGGTTCGGCTGATGTACAGTACGTGGTGATGTCAAGATTTCTAACAAGAGCAGTCAAAGCGGGCAAATCCGTTTGAGAGGCCGCTTTCTTTCTCACCTTCTCTCTAGCAAGCCAATCCGATGGCCAAGACACGTGTCCATCCTTACTCGTCGTAGCTACGCCCTGCATTTGCTAAATAAACGGCCGGGCATATATGATTGCAGCGCTGGACAGACGATAGGCAGAAACCCTGGCTTGATCCAGCCAAAGTTTTGCGAAAATGGGGCGACGGGTTTCCAAAGGTCCAAGGAGGGGCCCCCATCGCGAGTGAGATGATGGCGCCAGACGGTGAAATCGGAAAATAGCGGCATTTCTTGAGAGTAAAGAGGATCAGCGAGCAGCAAAAGGAGATGAGAAGAATCGAGGATATGACTGATGAGACGGAGACAACTATGGATCGAGTTACACACGGATACAGTTGCAACAAACACGTTTTGTTGGTAACTCAGGTTGGACTCGACGAGGAAACCCACAAGGCCAGGCACGTCGAAAGTCTGTGGGCTGGCCCGGGCGTCTGCTCGCCGCAGGGGTTCGGCGCACAGTGCCAATTTTCTTGGGCGCTAACTGTCTCCGGCCGGGGCGTCGACCGGCTCCACTCCCGCAATCCATTGACAGCAGTCAAGCAGTCGCGCCCAGGCGGCGCGCCAATTGGCAGACAGCGCCATTGGCGATGCTCATTGAGCCCGATTTGAGAGAAGTGAGCGTCCCACGGGCGTTACCTATTGATCCACTGTCACGATACGGCACAGCCAAAAAAGAATAAAAAATAAGAGTCCAACAGACCACATGTTACACGTGTCTTGGAATGATGCTTGCGGCTGTCTCCTGTCTATCAGTCAGCCGATTAGCGAGTTGGTACTTTTACTCGAGCCCATTGGGATACCGTGGACAGTGATATTGTGTACTATCAGGGCAGTATCAGTAGTTCCAGACCAGTGTAGCCAGTTTCGACATGCCGAGACAGGCTGCACGGTTGAGGCCCGACAAGAGAGACTTTGAAAAGAGAGTGAAGAAGAAAACGGACCCCTCAAGAGTAAGCCCCTTTATCCTTGTCGTCTTTCCGTTCGACACTACCAAAATGGGTCTAAGAGGCAAGGGGAGGAGGGGCACAGCTCCGTACAGGGCGTCGAGGACAAGGGAGGGGTGATAGTGGAGGTCCAGGTCGGTCCCCTAATGGGGTTGGGGGCCGCTACCGCCCGCAATGGATCTGTTCCAGTTGGAGAAAATTAAAATAGCAAAGGCGACTTTTTTTTTCCCTCTCGCTCTCTCAGACTCTCGCAGTGAAGAGGACCCGAACCTTTTTCTGCCCCCCCTTGTCAAAACTGTACGGACGGACGGTCGGCTACGGCTACACAGGGCGAGATCGCGCATCTGCTGTTGCTTGCTGTTACCGGGATACCGTCTCCACGACCCTTAGCTTCCACCTTTCCATAAGGTAAGGTACGCAGTACTGTGTAAACTTCCAGAGCCCTGTAGGTGCGTACCTTACGAATACCCGACGGGCTGTCTGTACCTACCTACCTGTGTATGTGCAGAGTACGTATCTTTTTCTGCTGAGCTGGGAAAGAGGGACACCTTTCCCCATTGTCGGCCGACCCTCTTCTCTTGGCCTCGTACATTTCGCAAATCCTCCTTCTCCAGCATCGCTTCTTTTCCTTGTCTTCTGTGACATGCTGGACCGGATATTGTAGATTCACATTTCCTGCATTTCTTCACTTATTGGTTTTATTCCTCCTGCAACAACAAAGCAGACCGTTCTCCTCTCCTTTGGTTGTGGTGCTGCAGTCTCACCGCCACGGTTTCCACCCAAAAGCTTAGAGACATTGCCATCGTTGGCGACAATCTGCCACTCCCTCGATTTTCTCGGACCTTTGCCCGACCTGACTTGCGACACCTTTCCCGTCGTCCCACCACTCGCTTTTCGCACCTGGCAAATCTCATCCCGACGTAGCAGAGCTTCATCTGTTCATCGTAGCAATCAAATATTATGGCCACTCAGACCAAGGCAGCCGCCAACGGCGCTGCTGCGAATGGCGACGTCAACCACGAGCCCATCAATGTCATTATCCCCATTGGCGGCATTGGCTCCCGCTTCGCAAAGGAGGGTTACCGCTACCCAAAGCCCCTGATCAACATCGTCGGCCGGCCCATGCTGCTATGGCTGATTGACAATCTGAGCCTCAAGCCTGGCGACACCCTGTGGATGGCCATCAACGAGGAGGTTGACGACGAGTTCAGAATCGGCCAGCTCGTGAGCAAGACGTTTTCCAAGATCGACTTCAGACTCCTGCGCTTGCGCCACCAGACCAAGGGTGCCAGCGAGACGGTAAGCCCTTCCCTCAGCTTCTTTGAGATCACTCTTGCTCTCTTGACCCGCGCTCTTGTCTCTTCTTCCCCCGCCCTTGCGCAATCCGCCCGAGGAGGGGCAAAACCAAGCTTGGAAGCGCATCGCTGACGATCCCTCGTAGCTCTACATCGTCACCCAGAGCATGACCAAGAAGCACCTCGAGCGCAAGACTGTCTCTCTCGACTGCGACACCATTTACTGGGCCGATGTCCTTCAGGACATTCGCAACATGCCCAAGGGCCACGGCGGCTGCTTCTACTTCCCCGACGTTGGCGACAAGCCCATCTTCTCTTACATCAAGACAGAACCCAAGTGAGTGGTCACCAGGAGCGGAGCGCATGAAACACCTTGAGCCAAGATTCAAGTTCTAACAGATGGCTACTACAGGGACGGCTTGGAGCGCATTGTCGATATTCAGGAGAAGAAGGCCATCTCCAACAAGGCAAACACGGGCGCATACGTTTTCCCGTCGGCGGGTCAGCTCAAGTCATGGGCTGCCCAAAACCTTGACATGAAGAGACCCGACGGCTCAGAGGTCGGCGAGTACTACACTTCCCAGATGATCGCCCTCATGATCCAGAACGGCGTGCCGTACCTGGGTATGCCTGTCAGCACCAAGGACTTCAGTGTTGTCGGCACACCCGAGCAGCTCAAGGACCTCCTGAAGCTCCTCAAGACGGATACGTCCAACCTGCCCATTAAGCTGAAAAAGCGCCGCTTCTGCTTCGATCTCGACATGACCTTGGTCGGTGTGCCCGCCGTGGCCGGAGACTACTCCACCTGCCCTCCCATCGAGAAGAACATTCGCCTCGTCCAGCAGTTGTACAACGCTGGTCACTACATCATCATTGTAAGTCGATCCTTGGCGCTTGGCGACCAGGGAGCAGATCATGGCTTCCTGCATTTTCCACGACTTTGTGCTAACTTCCGAACAGCAAACGGCCCGCCGCATGCGCACACATCACGGAAACTTGGGTTCAGTCTTGGCTGACGTCGGCCCTGTCACCTTTGCCCAGTTGGCCAAGTACGAGATCCCATACCACGACATCCACTTCGGTAAGCCCTATGCTGATGTGTACGTCGACGACCTGGCCGTCAACGCCAACCTCGACACTATGCGGGAAATTGGCTGGCTCTTGGACGAGCAGGACCCGGCTGCCCTGATCGGACAAGATGCCGCGACGGGTGACGATGCAAAGAAGGCCGGCATGATTGCCGCTCGTGACTTCAACACCATCCAGATCATTGGCGATAAGGTGATCAAGTCGAGCAAATCTGAGAACATTCTCGGCGAGCTCTTCTTCTACTCCCACATGCCCGCCGAGATTGCCCAAGTCTTCCCCACCGTATATAACGTGGACTACATCCCCGACACCACCACTTACAACATCACCATGGAGAATCGCCGTGGTTTGACCTTCTCTCACCTCCTGGTCGGTCGATCCATTACCAAGGGTCGCCTGATCTCCCTCCTCAAGGCCCTCCACACCGTCCACACCACGGGCAGCACAGACAAGGCCACCCTCAAGATCCCCAGTGCCCTGGAGAAGAAGTTCGAGGAGCACTCCCTCGCGCGGGCGAACAACCGCGTCAACATCTACGCAAACTACGGCTCGAAGTTGCGCAGCCGTTACTACAAGGACCAGCACAAGTACGATGCACTTGGTCCCCTCGCCGCCTCTCTCTTCGCCCGTATCAACGAGTTCCTCGACACGTACGAGGCTGAGGAGAAGGGTGTCCATGCTCAGGTCATTCACGGTGACCCGGTCTTCAGCAACGCCATCCTGTCCAAGGATGAGAAGCTCGTCAGCTTTATCGATGTGCGCTGCCAGCTGGAGAACACCCTGACGCCCGAGGGTGATATCCACTACGACTTGGGCAAGGTCCTCCAGTCCCTCTGCGGTTACGACCACATCCTGTTTATGAGCGCGAACAACTACGACTTGCGCGACGCTCTCGACAGTGACAAGCCCTTGCTCGACGAAGCCGACTCAGACCTCCTCGAGAGCCTCCAGGAGCACTTCTTCACCTTCCTCGAGGATACTTACTCTGTCCGCCTGCATCGCAAGACCCTCTTCCGTATCACCGCCTCCCTGTTCTTCAGCTTGATCCCTCTGCACCGGCCCGAACTCGGCGCCGTCTTCCTGCGCATGTGCAAGGAGACGCTCGACAAGGCGAGTAACATCAACTACGGCCCGGGCGCCCGCTCCACGGCAGGTCTCACGCTTAGTCGGCGCGCGAGCTCCAACTTTGGCTCGGACGAGAAGGCTCGCGAAATGCCGATCGCCTCGGGCAAGGGCGAGAACCTCTCTATCCCCAGCGTCACCGTCACTGCGAAATAAGCATATGTACTATCGGTGGCATCGTATAACCGAGTGCTTTGGGAGAGCCAAGTCTGACCGATTCGCGGGCTATAATGTGCCGAGCTATCGGAAAGGTGGAGGTGGGTTTGCGATAGCGGGGGTGGAGTTGCATTGATGTCATTCGGGACGAAGCTTCCGTAGAAGAAAGCGGAGAGCTCATGTGGAGCCCTGTCGAACACATTTCGCGTCGGAACCCAACCGAGAAGCGATCACGATGTGTGTGGGAACAGGGACGGGAACGGGAACAAAGTGGCATTTGCTTCAAAACTACTGTTTGTACTGCGTAAGGTACCTATAGGGTGGAAAAGGAGGGGAAGCATTTTGATCGGGGTTTTCCACTACAACTTGTAGGGATGGATGTTGTTCAGCGTCAGTCTACGAGGGTCATGTACTACTTACTATACCAAGATATCAAGAAACCGTACATTAAAATCGGGCTCTTTTTGCAGTGAGTGTCTATGAATGTGATTGATGGATAGCTTGCCATCGTTATTAGCATCAGCAAGCTTACACCTCAAGTCTAATTGTTAGATTTTGCTGCGTCGCAACCAACAACTCACTGTCGCCAAAAAAGGACCCTGTAATTGGTGAATGGTAACGTTCGCTATCTAGGCTCGGCAGAGCAGGGCCTGCTCACCCAGGTAATCCTATCTACTTTCGCTCGATTGAGGCCAATTCTCCTGACTGACCCGGAACTAGTAACTTCATCCTTCCGCAATCCTCCCTCAACTACCACCAACCATCCATGCTCGCCTCTCCCATCATCACCACTCACTCCATCGCACTTCCTCCAGTCGTCGCCCATTGGAATCTCTGATATGCGCACTCAGATGTACCACATGGTGTTCTTGAACATGTCAGATGCCTGGGGGTCAGAGTCAGGGCCACTGCCACCCAGAGGCAGCAGGGGAAGGGACTCGGTGGGACGCTCGCCCTCGAACATGCTAAGACCGCGGGAGCCGTATTCGTCAGCCATTTCCGCCGCCTTGGGGCCGGAGCGGAAGCCCTGAGAGGTTGCAATGTTCTCGTGTGCACGAGCACGGCCGCAGGCGAGATCAGCGTAGTAAATCGCCGGGTGAAGGGAGACAGGAGTCGTCGAGCGAGCGTACTGGTAGCATTGACCATAGATCATGCGCTGAAGATCGTTCGTGCCCATCTTGGCCTCGTCTATCAGAACGGTGTAGTGTACAGGGCGAGCAGTTCCCTGGATGGCCACGTGCGAGCACATGTAGAAGTCCCACCAGAAAGGGTGGCAGACCTCCTTCTCAAGGACAGTTCCGGGGA